TCCCTAACGTTCTGTGATTCTGTGAATAAATTTTCAAAAGATTAGTTCTTCTTTCCCCCAAGAAACTACTCTGAATTTTTCACACTGAAGACATCTACTTCAACAAAATTATCAGTGGCCCCCAAAGTATTATTCCCACAAGAACTGCTTCAGAAACACAAATCCAGAGCCATCTCAAGGAGCTGTGATACTTCTATAAGAAAACAGCAGTATAAAACTTCTAGTTTGTCAGTTTCCATTAAAAAAATCCAAGCATACATTTTCCACGGCAGTATGTACCTATTTGCAGTAGAACTAGGAATAATTACAGAAAATGCTTTTGCTGTGTATGTCACTGTTGATGTAAAATATTTCAGCACCTAACAGATGTTCTTTGTTGTGCTATAACCTTTTTTAGTATTGTGATACTTAAAAACAAACAACAAAAAAGAAATAAAAAGGAGTAACAAACAAGACCTATGTTTGTCAACTGTCCTGTCCCTAAATAAACTACACCCAAACATTACTATAAAAATTTTCTCCTTTACAGAAGAAAACAGTAAGTGGCTTACTTACTTGAATCGGGCATAATGCGAAGGTCACCTTCTTTATAATCATCTAAAAGCTGGTACATGTATAAGACAGGATCTTTCTCGTAGGTAATATAAAACCATGTGTTCATAATAGGGGCTCGAGCCAAAACCATCCCTCTCCATTCATCTTTTGAACCATCTTCTGTCTCAAACATGTGTTCCACAGCTTTACCAATCATTGTGTCTGCCAGGTGGGCATCACTGATTCGAGATGAAGCTGAAATGACAGCATTTCATAAATTCATTCGAAAGCACAGATGTATCTTTGTGAAAAATAGTCTTTACCCTGATTCATAAACAGATTTGATTGGAAGTTAGTTTATTCATATACAAACCAAACACCGTCCATTCCAGAAAGTTTGCTACTGAAGAACTGCAGAACTTTAAAATGTTGTTAAAACAACAATCTATTATCATACTCCTTATGATTAAACAATCATAATGCAAAGGAAAGGGAGATCAATCAGCACCACAGCTGAGAAGACTGTGACACTTTTACCTAGACACTACAGGAAGCAAGGCAGGCAGCAGAGAAGAGGAAAAGAGGCCAATCTCACAAGAGTTCTATGAAATTATTCCTGAAACTCTGGAGTTTGGTTCCCCCTAACATCACTCTAGAGACTGCTACCAAATCCTTTGCAGCCAGAAGCAACAGTAGCTCATTCTGTTTATAAACCAGTAATTACTTGAGTAAATATTGAACTTTGCAGTTCAAAAACCCTGCAATTTAACAATCTAATTGTGAAATGCTAATTGTGAAATACTAATTGTGAAAATCAAAAAGCCTTGTTACTAATCAAGTTATTTCACTTAGAAGACACCTTTCCCTCCATTATTAATAGTACTTAGGTGAAGTACATGAGGAAAAATGTGTTACTATTCCTGTCAGACACACACAAACAACACAGCAAAGAAAGCTTAGAGTTTGAATCTTTACAGAAGTATCAATGTTGACTTTATATAGGGTTCTTAAGGATAAGACTGAACAAGAACTACAGAATCTACTGCACACTACTTCAAGAAAGAAGACAGCACTGCACTTGCTGGTTATCATCAAATCTTTGTGGAATCAAGAAAATTTAAATACAGCATTTGGATGTGACATAAATGAATTTGACTAGTAACATTTAAGTGGTCAGATGGTATCCTGGGGGAAGTTTGGAGAGATTAATGGAGAACATTTAACAGCAAATGTCAGCTTATATGTATGTGAATTTAGGAGAAAAACTCCACACACTTACCAACTCTGTCTGGTAGAACTTCAAGTGCTGAAACTCTTTCATCTTTGTGCAGTTCTAGTCCATACACACAGTCAAATCCATCATATTTTATAAGATAGAGAGAGGGATTTACAGGAACTTGATCAAGAACTGTGCCCTTCCATTGTGTTACAGGTCCACTCCCTTCTTTCCATCCATGCTGAATTCTGCAGCCTACAATATTTCTTCGTGGCTGAGAAATAGGTTTGCTTGGTCCCACATTGTTTCTATGCTTTCTGTACACAGATACAAACATAATACTAAACAAGTACATACATACTCAAAGTTCTGCTCCAGCCAAGAGCTGTATGCTTTAAGATGGCAATATATTTTACAGATTAGTGCACCTTATTAAAATTAGGGCATAAAACACATTACCCTATATGAGAAAGCAGAAAAAAACCACACTAAAAAGCAGTGAAACATTTGCTATGTGCTTTATAATGTCAGGTTCCTAACAGTCATTTCTAAAACCAGTTTCCTTAAGCCAAAAGAACTATTTTAACCCTTGCTACACTGGATGTCAAAAGTAAAACTCACCTGATCAGGTCTCAATGCACAAGGTTGCTTGGCAGTATTATACCTTTACTATCTCACTGCTCTCTGTAGAATAGTAAACAACTCCTTCCCCAGGAGGAAGTTGTCAGTAGAAATATCACCAGTGGCTGACTAAAATTCTTCCAAGGTGTTTGTTTTCCCTAACCAGTTTTCACATGAAAAAAATTTAGCTTCCTTCTGCATTTATAGGTATTTTTGACACCAAGTAGTTCTAAAGACACATGGTAGCAACACCACTTCTTCAGCATTTCTTTTTAGCATACCAAAAGAAAAATAATATGTAACGGTAATGGCAATACAAGGGATATTCCTTAATGTGGAAAACAGATCACACACACTTTTCTGTCCTCTATTTTCATGGAAATCACATGAATAACAGCTGTTCTTCTGATCAATAGACCTGTAAGCTATTTGAAAGTTTCAAATCACTGGAAGTGTTATACACGTTCTGTTCTACGCAGTTATTAAAAACACTAATTGACAAATTTGAGTACAAATGGAAGAAACTAAGGAATGTTATGACAGTACATTGGTGATAAGAAATGAATGTATCTATTTTAGCATGCTACAACGTACCTATTCATTCCTAAAAAGATTATTTAGGGGGTTGCCTGATCAATACTTTGATGAATGTCAACTAGTTCTAAAATACTTTTTTGGGTTACTAGTTGTAGCACAAGTCATTTAAATGGCAACCAAATATGCACACCACTAGCATGCTTAAAAGCAACATCTAAAAGAGAACATCAGTTGCAGAAAACAATATTCTTCCTTAGAGACAGTGACCAAAGAGAAACATCTCCAGGAATGATGAATGCTCTCAGAGAAGTCTCTATATGAACTAATAAAGACAAATAACAATCATACCACTGAAATCCTGGAAGCCGTCTTGCAGAATAACACACTCACTACATCACACTGAAATGCATAATGCTGAAGATGTAATTGTAACTATTAAAAACAAGATGTGTGATTTCTTGAACAGCTTGTCCCCCCATACTTTCACTCATCATGAAGATTTCAGCCAGGGGTTTTGTCAAATTTTACTTTTGTTATCATTTGGCCCCTTCAGCAACATCAGTTTTTGTATTCTTAACTTTGATAGCAGCTCCAGCCTCTTCCACTTAAGAGGTATTCTTCCACAAAGTTGGCTCTAATCTTATGCAGAAGCTAGAACTTAACTTTCAAATTCTAGTTCTTGCTCAAGTATATACATTTTCATTGTAATAGTCTCAGTAATACTTTATCATCACAAAATGAGATCAGAGGTCTGGTTCTTGGCACAATAAAAATGAGTTTGTTTTGCATGTCATAATTTTAGTTCTAGTGAATCATAGTTCCATTATAGAGCAGAATAAACCACCTGAAGGTAAGAAGTTAATACAGGTAAAACAATGTCAGTTTTAAACTGTTTGACTATGCTGCTAACCATCTTCTCATTGAAAAAGGTAAAAATAACACTGTTCATGTTCAATCTCAATTTTACTTTCTGCCTATAAAGTATAATCCACTTTAATGTTTCAATTGGAATAATTATGCTTCACACTCACTTTAAAAAATACGACGCAAAAATACTATATAACTCAGCTCAAACTGGTAACTCCCTTTGAAATGCCTCGGAGAACAAAAAAGCATTACACATTTAATCACAATTCAAGTACCTGCCAGCTGTACTTGCAGTTCAAATTTTTGTTTTAAGGCTGTACTACTCAAGAGCCATTCAGTCTCATTTGCAGTGGCTCATACGGTAAGAAATGAGACTGTCAAACTACTAAATTATCAACGAAAACCTACTTCTCCTTGCATCTGAACATGTGGTAAGAAAGCAAGCACAGATTTCTTAACTATCAATAATAGCTATGAATATATTTCCATGTTAAGACAACCATGTAATCAACTCAAACCTCTCATCTCCTCAACAGTGTGTTATTTCTGCGATGCATCAAGTAATATAAATGGACATAAGCTTCTATAATGCTATATCCAGAAGGTTCACATTTTTTTCCTTCTGTTTCATTAGAATTATCTTTAAAATTCCACAAAGATTTGCTCTTGAAGATTCTGCAACAATTTTCCTAGACATGTAAAACATGGAGACAGGAAAGCCACAAAATAGCAAGTCCTGGAAATAGCTCTTGACACACATCAGACAGATCCTCATTGTAAATAGCCTTTCAATCCTCAAAAGTTTCAGATCCTTATCTTGAAGGCAGAAGCTTGTAAAGTAGAACCTAGTTATGTGAAAAAGGTGTAATTATCAGAAACAGATACTTATTACCAAAGACCTATCAAGTAAAGTTGCCCATTTAGGGTTGGGGTTTGTTTTTTTTTTCTTTTCTTTTCTTTTCTTTTCTCCCTCCCCCTGATCTTCTCATCTCAGAAAAACACCACAGGGTAGAACTAAGGAAAAAGAAAAGAAAAGAAAGAAATGGTGAAAGAAAACCACACAGATAGGCAAAAAGGCACAACTATGAAAAACAGGAAGGAAACCTGCAAAACAGCATAAATGCAGTACAGCAGCAATGGTCAGTACAATTTCTTTCATGGTGCCAAGCAGAAGTTACTAAAAGGACCCAAAACTTATTAAAGACTGTCATTAATAGCAGAAAGATGATGAGAGAATTGTTATTAACTACTTTTCACAATGTTCAGACTATGAGATACATTAGTTGAGGCAAAGGCGTTAAAGTACTTTCTGTGAGCCCTCAACATCCACCATCCAGATGTGAATTTTATCCTCAGATGGCTGCAGGAACCATGACTACAAGTTAGCTTAAAGTGGGATCAGAAGTCAAAATGGTTAAGTTCACTTCTAGTTAAATTGCAGGTGTATCCTGTGCCTCAAAGTCCTGGAACTGCCAACTACAAGAAATTTGGAAAGCCTATGAAGAAAGGATTGTTTTATACTTACACTATTACATGTACTCTTTCCTTATGCACCAAGGGTGGAAAGAATGAGATCTGTGAGATCAATCTCTGATCTGATGCCAGTGAGGTCAGTTTCATACTGGCAGAGATCACCACTATCCACTAAAAGAACACTTGGAAGAACTGCCCTATAAGCACAGCAACCCCTTCCAAAAAGCTCAACAGTTAACTACCATTTGGTAAAGAGAAGTTTGGACCACTCATCCATACTGCTTATTCTGTCATCCTCAACTACTGAGCCATACCTTGTACCATCATCCCCTTGGCTCTTTCCTCTGCCATACACCATGTGAAGCTACTTTAAAATCTCCTCAATGGCCTTTAAGTGCCAGTAGGCTTGTTCCTCTTTTTCTTTAAATATGGAGTGATAACTATGTAAGTCACAAAGTATGCTTTACTAACTCATAGTCTACCATAGCATCTCAGAGTAGTATCATTATATATTATTACATGGTCATTCATATCCTCCTTGTTTATGGTAAACTCTACCTCATTCTCAGACAAGTCAGTGAGCAGCACACAAAAAATGATCTTGGTTTGGTACAGAAAAATATTCACTAAATAATAATCAATTGAACTAGACTACATTAACATAAAGCTAAGCTGGATGCTTAAGTTAGATGTCTCAAAAATCACGTCACTTAGGATTAAAACTTCTTATGCCCCATAATGCCTTTACGCTAGCAAGTTTACAGCCTATTTAGGTATTTAAATAAGCGTGTATCACCACAACAATAAAGACAAATCTAGCCACCCTCAAGTACAAAAGGCAACCCACCTCTGATAGTCTTCCCATCATACACTCCTTTCTCTGAGCGGTTGAAAGAGAACAAGAGAAATTAAGTTTTAACCAACTCTACCTGTCCCTAGACAAATAAATGTTTCTCTTTGCCTTCTATAAGGATAGACAAGAATGGATAATGATGAGCTGGTGGAAGGGATTAGAGTAGTTTTACATCAAGTGTTGTCTCTGGGAAACAGTTAACACTGTTAGCAGTTATTAAC